CTAAAATGTATATATGTGAACAAGAAAGAAAACCACACATCTAAAGTGAACATTAAAAGTAGACACAATGAGTGCAAATACATCAAATGATGATGAAAACCTATAAAAATTTAAATCTATTTTTTGTAGAATCTGGTTCATCAGTTTTAATTTATATACATATATATATATTATTATATCTATAAATATATATAGATATAATAATATAGAATAATATATATATATAAATACGTATATATCTATATAAATATATATGAATATATATATAAATACATATATATGTATATAAATATATATGAATATATATATAAATACATATATATGTATATAAATACATGTGTATATGCTGTATATACATAATTGTGTGTATATACATTTATGTGTGATATATATATGTATCACATATGATATATGATATATATATATATATTTATACACATGTACATACTGTCTGCTTTCCGATAGGCAAAGGTAACCACTGGAAGTAGCGATAAGCACCTTTGCTTGCAGCCTCTCCTCCAAGGGGTCCGGAAGCTTACTTCAGCGCCGTGGTATTACCTGTAGCTGTCTAAAGTAGCCTCATTAAGGCTGCGGCGAGGTGATTCATCCAGAATATTAACGACCTTAAATCCGTGAGTCACACCCTAATCTCACTCTGTTACCTAGACCCTCCAAGCAGCAGGGAATGGATCTTCTGGTCCAGAGAAACTCGCGTTGTGGCCGCTCACCTCTCACTTTAGCGTTGCAATTGTTAACTGTTCTGGTAATTTTTAGGGCCCTGGAAATGGGCACAAGGGTGTTTGTTAATCTGTAGCTAATAAACCTGTCAAAACCTCCTTTATTGATGTTCTTTAAGTGAACCAAGCATTACCATGTATTTAGTTGATAAGAATGAAATAATAGTCCAGATTTGTACGTTTTGCTTTGCTTTTAATCAATAATTTGCGCAGGGGTACAGCAACAGGCACAATTTTATAATGATTAAATTTTCATGAGTACACAGGATACACTTTCTTCACTAAAATAAGGTAATGGAATCTTCCTGATGACTTCTAATCCCCAAGAGCCCTTGGGGACTTTGCGAACACTACCTTCCCTTAGACCTTTCACACATCAAGCCAAAAGAGGTTCTCTCTCAACTCCCTCATGAACCAGAAGCACCTTCGAGCAAATCCCACTAGTACCCAGTTTAATATTCTGGAATTTATCCTGTATGCTAAATTTCTAATCTGATGAATTAATTTATTTAGACCAGAAGGACAGGGTAGTCCGCTTACCATGATTCTGAGGAGTCTCTCAGAGAATCTTTGTGTCAGTAAACGGCATATTTCCCATTCTCCAGGAGGGAGATGCGGGCCTTACCCTAGGACAGGAGCAATCTATGCCAAATTGGAGAATTCAGAGTTTTTTGGACGAGCCCGGGTCAAGCTTTTTAGAAGTAGGATCCTTCTTCAGTCTGTTGTTGCAAGTGGAGGCCTATTCCAATCCCATTTTCAGTAGAAAAAGAAGTAGATCCCCAGCCTTGTCCCAAACCGATATAATCCAACTTCTTTCGGGCGTCTCTGATCCTCTAGCTGCTCTCTGCCGTAGTACCTTCTGTTCAGCTCTTCAACTCAGCCCTTCGACTCTGCATTGACCAAGTTCATTCTGTCCAGTCTGTATTTAAAGACTTATTCATCCCTCCTCCTCTTAAGGAGGGGTTATGGAAAATTACATCATCTCTTTTCCAGTAACTTCTCTGCTGTTTTGCACCTCAACCGGTTCAGACCGGTTTTCTCGGTACTTTCCAGAACTTGTTTTGCTCAAAGATGAGTCATCATGAGATGAGTTGTGTTTGAACTCTCTGACTCCTTGTTTTTTTCTCCTACTGCTCGAGGCAGGCCCAGACATGTTCTTAGGTGGGCATGCTCAGACATGTTTCTCTGTTACATGAGGGCTCTTTACTTTACCATTTCATAAGTAAAAGTAATCACACAATCATACAAAAGATTATACAATTTCTTAAAGATTAACACTTTCATTAGTTGATTATGTGTTGATTATTAGTAAAACAGTTTGGTTACACATTATCAAAACAGTAAAACACTTTTGATTACACATTATCATTTTCAGCTTGATTTAAAGCTTGAGTTCAGTCCTTCTGCTGCTGAGGAGAACTTTTGATCAGGCTTCATTTTTCTTAAAGCTGGTGGTCTGTTCATGCATTATCACCACAGACACCTGGTTTATTAACAATACACACATACATGCATACATACATACACACACACACACAACTTAAAAATAACATAAATTCTCAACCTGTACTGAAAACATCCAAGAAAGTTCAATCTGGTCCTCTGGACATTCAAAAAAACAAAACAAAGCAAAAAAAAAAAAAAAAAATGTAGAAACATTTCGTCTCTCATCCAAGAGACTTCCTCAGTCTGAGCTGCTGTTTTCAGCTCAGTCTCTTAAATAGCACCTTCTCAGAGTGGATCAGCCAGTTTTGCTGCTGACAACCAAAACCAACTGATCACATGCTCAAGACGGACCATCAGCCTAACAATGGATCATTAGCACACTGATGGCTGTTTACTATTCACAGAGGGCTGAGTGATACTAGCAATCACAGCATTGTAAGAGGGGGACAGTTGAACCCGGAGGCCTCCACCCCTGTTTAATGATGGACGATTTCTTTTCACAAAGATGGCCTCCTTTACTCCTCTCTCAAACCATCGTTCCTCTCTGTCCAGGATGTGAACATCTTCATCCTTGAAAGAGTGACCGCTGGCCTGGAGATGAGTGTAGTCTCTTGGATGAGAGACGAAACGTTTCTACATTTTATTTTATTTTTTTGCTTTGTTTTGTTTTTTGTTTTTTTGAATGTCCAGAGGACCAGATTGAACTTTCTTGGATTTTTCTACCTGGATTATTGAGCATGCATCAGGATGTACTGAAAACAGTTTCTGCGTCTCAGCGCCACCAGCTGGTGAGAGGTGGTGACGTCAATTTGAACCCCGCCCACTGGAACCGGTACTGAAAGCATAATGGAAACACAACCTGTACCGTACCGAGTAGAGTAGAGCCGTGCTGTACTGGTACTACAGGTACTAATGGAAAAGGGGCCTAAGCCGTGCCTACTAAATAAAAAATTATTTTGTACCTAAATAAGACACATCAGTTGTTAAGCTGCAGGTATCCACCATTAATTATCAGAATCTTTACCCAGCTCGTGGCATGATGTGCAGCTTTTGTTGTAATACAAGAATCAGCCACCGGATGGCGGTTCATAGATTTGGCTTGCTTTCAAGATACATACAGATTGTGTGATTGTCATAATTTTCATGACACTTCACTCTCTGACTCATGGTTAAAACCATTCAACCTACAGAATGAACACAATAACTATCTAAGAATAAACACTGGACAGAACAGTACCAAACATCTACGTAACCAAAATTATTGTATTTAAAAATTATATACCGTTAAATTTAACCCACAATTCTTATCAAGGTCATGTGAGTCACATAGTACCGGTAAAATACGGTAAATATTCATTAAATTAGTACCATTGATTTTTATTCATAAATATTTTTGTTAATAAATGCTGGTTTTAATTGTACTTTCTAAATAAATATGACGTGATTTCTGCCCAGCAGAGCCCACATGAGGAGGAGGAGGAAGGTGAAACGGCCCCTCCCGTTCGTTGTCTTCTCCTCTCTGTTTCATGCGTTTGGATGTGAGCTTAAATGAGATACCCGTATTTAAACACATATTAATCATACACATAAAGATGTCACAGAAATAATTCTAAAACTTTTATTAAAATATGTACCAGACTTGACTGCTTTAAAAATAAATTTTGACAACTTCTGCTCAGCGGTGCCCACATGAACCACGAGGAGATGGAACAGCCAGTAAATGTTTTTACTTTTCTGACAAATACCTTTAACACAGCAAAAAAAAAAGTACTGGTAGTCGACCAAAAGGCACTCATCGCTATGTTCTTCTTCCTTCTGTGCACTAAAGTCCTCTTCTGCTGTGTCAGAATTGAAGAGGCTCGGAAAAACGTCTTCACACACCGCCTCCGTCTTGCTCTCAGCAGCGGTTTCCTTCTTCAGCCAGATCGATAGCTTTTAACTTGAAAACTTCATCATAAGAAATTCTCTGTTCGTTTTCCATTATCCCTGAAAAGGTTAACAGGTCTGTGCATGAGGTGCAAAATATGGTAACGATCTGAAGAAATTAATGCACGTCTATCTTGCAGGATGGGTCGTCGAGAGTACCTCATTGGTCATTAAGGTTAAACTTCTGGTCACATGATGACAGAATGGGTGGAGTTATGAGTAGGAAAATTGAAACCATGAGCAAGAGGTTTGGTACATGTGTGTACCTGAGGCATTCACTCTGTATGTCACAAAAGCCCGCCCCTAAGAGGGTTGGGCGCTGGGCCCCTACAGTATATGAGCACCCAGCATCGCCAAAGGAAAATGTTATTCAGTGGCTGGAAGCTGCTGAGAGATGGCAAGAAGCCTGTCAAAATAAAAATATAAATTATAAAAATTATTATTTTTAAAAATACACAAATTAGCCACTCCAGTGTATAAGCTGTGTAATCTTAAGTGTGAGAAAAAAGTAGCGGCTTATACACCGGCAATTACAGTATTCAGATATTCCCCGCAGCAGCTGGGTGTATTAGAGATGAACAGAATATTGTTTACAAGGAGATGAGTGCAAATTATGCTTTATGAAGAACACTAAATCCTTGAATGTATTCAGTAATGTTGTAGATGTTTCAGTGAACTGTGGTGACAGGCACATAATTTGCCGGGGGAGCAGCAACAGGCTCAGTAACCCTACAAATAAAACTGGGAACAGGTTGGACACAACCTGAAGATTTTGAGTCGGTGACAAATCAAATTTGTTTAGGGTATCAATAATATTGTTTAATCTGTCTGCTTGTTCACAGTTTTTTCACTTGTCCACAGCTGGTTCCAAATAAACATTTCATTTTTCAGGTTTGGTCTACCACAAGCAGACAGAGCACTTTGACGAGAAGCCATTTGCCTGTGAAGAATGTGGCGCAAAGTTTGGTGCAAACTCCTCCCTGAAAAATCACTTGAGGCTGCACACAGGAGAGAAACCATACCACTGTCAGCACTGTGAGATGAGCTTCAGTGTGGCTGCTGCACTCTCATACCACACCAAGAAGAAGCACTCAGAAGGTAGGACACACACA